TGACCATCAGCACCTCTACACCATGGGTATCAAATAAGAGGACTTGATCTGAAGAACGCAACATGGCGATATACATTTTTAAAAGTTACCCTTGTAATATGGCTGTCAAATGAAAGGGCTTAATGGGAGAAATACAATAAGTGTAGTGATGTTATTCTAAATCTAATATGGCGGCCGCCCCAGAATCGCGATTTACATTTTTCACAGTCACCCCTATGTTATAAGTATCAAATAAAAGGGCTTGATTAGGGAAACGCAATAAGCAAAATGACATCATTCCCAATCCAATATGGCATCCACCCCAAATGGCATCTACAATAAATTATCATGCCCACCCCTAGGATATAGGTATCAAATTAAATGTCTTCATGAGAGAAACATAACAAGCAACGCGATGTCATTCTTAATCTAATAGGAAACGCCATCGCAGAATGGCGATTTATACTTTCCAGTTTCCCCTGTATTATGGGTATCAAATTATTGGGCTTCATGTGAGAACATAATAATCAAAGTGATGACATTCTAGATACAATATAGTGGCCGCCACGGAATGACGATTTAGAATTTCCGTGATCACCCTTACGATATGAGTTTCAAATTAAAGGGTTAATGAGAGGAACAAGATAAGAATTTGTCATTATGTGGTTACATCTATAGAAATTTTACAGGGTATTTCACAACTTATCAGACACATTTCAACCACATATGCACTGTTACGAAAGAAGTTGATTTCTCAAAAAAAATTAATAGAAGTCCTACATAAACCGAGGTAATAAAATAATACAGATTAACAGTTCACTTATAAAAGCTGTTCAAAATTGTTTCCATTGACTGCAATGCAAGCTTGGGCGCTTCTAATCCAATTTCGGCGTACTAATTGAAATACACTTCCTGCTGTGCCTGAAGGCTCAAATTATCGGCAGCCACTGTGATTCGGTCACGCAATTCTGCAATATTCTGAACTGGAATACCGTATAGCTCGTTTTTTAAAGAATCCCCATAAAAAGAAGTCCAGAGCATTTAGATAGGGAGACCGTGGAGGCCATGCAAATGGTCCACCCCTTGCGATCCAGCGTATCTGGTATACCTGATTCAAAAAATCGGGAACGTCTAAACGAAAATGCGCAGGTGGCCCATCGTGAAGAAACCACATCCGTGCTCGGACCGCCAATGGCGCATCTTCAAGAAGGACCGGCAAATCATTATTAATAAATAACTAAAAACATAAAAAACATACTTTCTTATTTAACGTCACAAAAATCGACCGTACTTCATTCAGATCACCCATGATACAGACTAAACCTCATTCACACATTCTTATCAGTATGAAAAAACAAAAAACTCCTTGTATTTAAAACAGATATTTATTTTTCAATTTATTATTGAAACTCAGGTTTATAACTTATTTTCTGTAGGACTTTTATTACATTTTTTTTTTGAGAGATCAATTCCTTTCCTATCAGTGTGGTTAAAATTTTTCGGATAAGTTGTGAAAGACCCTGTATAGAAATTAAGAAACTAGTTATTTGGCATCATCAATACTAAAGAGTAAGAAATAAGTAATATAAAAAATACATATTTAAAAACAAACTTTTATTAGGTGTTCATAAAGCAAGTTGGTAAAATGGTGTACTTTCATTTGAAAACTTGCTTTAATATCGTTTAAATATTTCCAATATTTTTAAATGCTAAGTTCATTTTATGAACATCTAAATATATTTTTTTTAAAGATGTGTTATTTATTTTATCTATTAGCAAGTGTCTTCTTCAGTTTGCAAAGAGAACCTCTACTCATGCGTAATGATAATTCAGGTTTAGCCCTCCCCGAATCTGAGTTGCTTCCGCTACAACAGCAGCAGTTTTAGTTTGTTTCTTTTGGTGCCCCCGAAAGTTTAGAACCCAAGAAAAATTTTCGAAACTGGGATAGAATGTTTTCTGTTGTTATGTACGCTACGAAAAGCGATGTCACTCATTTCCGTCGGTCTGCCTGAAAAGTATTCCATGAAACGCTTAAGCAATCTTACTACTATACCCAGGACGCAAAGGCTTTGTAGTTTTTGAAAACTGGACCAGTGGCGGCGGAGAAAAAGGGCAAAATTAAAAAAAAATCGCTTTAACTTCCTTATCATTAGGGGTCGCAGGGGGTGGGGAGAATATACCTAAATTTTTTGACGTTGGTATATTTATACGCTTCCGACCCCAGTAATTCTATGCACATATTAGGCATATTTCACTCATCATACATGTCCCCGTACATTAACCCTTAGAAATATCTCGGCTATCGTTTCCTCACTGTTGTATGCATGGTCATTATCGTCATTCATGCGGGATTGGTCATAACAACGTTCATGTGGTTCTGTATTAACTCATGTCAGAGAGAGGATGGAGGTCGTTTAATTTTTTGTTATACATGTTCCTAGCTAATTTGTTTCTTAGAAGGGCTTACTTGTGCCAAACTTAAGGTTACCAACATATTTTCTGAAAAAGTAAATGGTAAATAAAAGGGTGCAGAATACGTATAGGTTGACTTGATCTTGACATCATCAAAGAAGCGACTTGCGATTTAGCAATATTCGCTTAGAATCCATGGCCCTTCGGATTCTATTGTCTATTTTGTCTGCACATCGGTGTTTTGTAAACCAACTTTTAGCGATACTTTCGACACGTATTTCATGCATTTTGACTTTTCGGGTAGCAATTATCATCTCATCACAGTGGCGTGCGAAGCTGGTAACCTTGACTTCGGACAAAAGCTCATCAACATGTAGTCAAAACAGTTTTATGGTACCTGATGAGATATAATAACAACTTTTGTATACTTACTTGTACACATTATGATTTATATCGCCAAATGGAATGTTTTCTATCTTAATTGGTTTTAAATGTCAGGGCAATGATTCCCACGAAAATAGACCGCTTACATTAAACAATGCGTGTCAAAAGAACTTTAGAACTTTTGACAGCATTTCATTTGTAACAAACTCCATTCATTGCATGTATAGACCTTATATAAAAAATGCGTTGAGTATATTGACTCGGTACTTTTCGTGCCTTTTCTGCTCAGACAGAAAAAAAATTATTTATGTACCTCCCTTTTCTTTAGAGTCTTTCGACTAATTATTTGAACAGGACAAGTCAGATTCAAATTGGAGATGATAAAAAATATATATTATACTTTAGTGTAACAGTGACAGCTGAAAATGTCAAGACGGTGGATGGGCACAAACAGTTTGGATGGCGTCAAGTAGATTGAGTCTGCACTTCCTACGCAACGCTGGTCATCAGCTCATCAAGGTCTGAGTTCAGCACAAGTGAGACCCTTTGATGAATAAAATAGTTACAAACATGTACAATATCGAAATTAAATGTATCAAGTCCGTCAAACAGATCAATACAATTTGTCCATAGATATTCTTTCTCTACCCTACCGACAGATGCCATTCAATCGACAGACGCTGCAGCGCCCACCGAAGCACCGCCGCAGTACCAGCAGAACAATCAAGCAGACAGTTACGCCGGGCACTGAACTCAGATAGCAGAGGGAGACGCGTATCGAAAACATTTCGTACGGGGAAACCTGTGATGTGTGAAATATGGCTATGTGCTTAGAATTACTGGGGTTGAGGGCGTATAATATACTAACATCTCAGAATTGAGATATACCCTCCTTCACCCCCTACAATACCCCCACATCCTAAGTAATGCCCGTAAAATATTTCCAAAAATGATCAGATTCCTCTGAACTGTCCTAAAATAACGTTTGTGGATTTGTATTTTTTGTTTTTGGCGTATTCTTCTGATTTTCAAAAACTACAAGGATTGTCTGACCTTGGCGTAGTAGTAACCTAGTTTAAAAATTTCATCCAACTCCCAGCAATAATTTCCAAGTTACAGAACGGCAAAGGATTGTCAGATAACATCAAAAAAATATGATATCCCATTTTTTAAATATTTAGTAAAGTAAGTAGTAAATAGGAAATCTTGAGACACCTTTATACCTCCTCATGGGTATTTTATAACTCTTGCATATGTAGTGCTCTATTTTTCAAAAAGGCACACAAAATCGAAATAATAATCATCGGTCTGTCTATTACTTTGCATGCGGCTATAGATACACTTTACTTACAAGAGTTAAGGACTTTTTGGCAACTGTGACAGCTTCTGCCGACCTTTCACCTTCCAATTACATTTTTGAAAGTCGCTTTGCTTTTGGACAAGTTTCTTTAGTCTTGCGCAGAAAATCTATCCTTATCCATCAGTATTTTATTTGCCAAAACATCCCACCTAAACAGATGTTTTCCAAAGCGATATCCATCAATGCAGTTCGCTTTACAGGCTCCAATTGAACCTTTACCGCATAATTCGTGGACCAAAGTATATTATTCATGTATAGATATTATGTACTCTAATCTCATGTACTGCACTATCAAAACAAAGATCAGCACGCCATGTTTAAATTCGCGTACTCCTATCGACCAGCAGGCCATAAATGCCTGGGCGTGGCACCGACAAGTGAATAGAAGCGACAATCGAGTGCTCATACGCTCATGTTTGTTTTGACGCAGAGGAAATGAGGTTTGAACACATACTTGGACGCAGATCGCTTTCCAGTTCCAGGATAGCTTTTGAGATGATGTGACCATACAAAGAGAAATGATATGAACATACATTAGACACATCCTTAGCAGTGAGAACGAAAGGCCTCTTTCTTAATTCATTCAAAAGCACTAAAGTACTAATACGTGGCAAGTAGTTACTGCGTCAACTTGTTGTTAGTACAAATTGTTTCATTATTATATATTAAGTCATCTCTATGACTCACAGCTTGATCCATACCCATCTGTGAGATATGTTAAAACATAAATCACTTTTGCCAAACTGTAATATGGTCAAGACTGGTATACATACTGCATAGCTACATTCTGCTTTTAGTTAAGTTTCATAAGCGTAAATCCCTTGCAAGCTGCATGTTTTTATTACAGTGTACCTATTCTTTTCAGAAAGCTGTGACGAAACTACATGAGTGAAGACCGCCTTTAAGGCAAGTACAAGACTGCTTCATTTTAATTAAGTAGCATTCATAGTATTCCTGTACAGGAACATTAGTTACCAGCGTTTGCGGTAATTGACGTGCATTAAGGGACATATGCTAAATGTATTAGGTGCGGATTGTTTTGAATGTCTACGAATATAGCGAGAGTACAAGGGTCTATTATATTTAATATAAGACGATGATATCACTCATTTCGTTAATAAACTACCATCAAACACTACCCAAAAGAGTGCTAATGATATCTACTAGAGATCCTATATTTGATTTCACTTATTCAGCTTTGATCAAAATTATGTTAACCAGAAATGCCAGAAAGTAATTTTATTTACAAGTTACCAGTGAAGTTCAGTCGCAAAAATCAATGATAAATTCGAGAAGGATCCAAACCCATACGATCTACTAATTTTGTTATTCCTGCTCTGTCGTCAACTATACCTAATTCTGTCCCACAATGTATTTCTTCTCATACATAGTATTATGTATATTTAAAATAATCTACAATTCATATTATAACTGAAACAAACAACATAATAAATACTTGAAAGATTTGACTAATTTAACATATCGCAATCTAGGGTAGCATATCATATCCTATAAGATCTAGAATGTTGCTCAGTAGACTTGCTACTTCACAAACATTCATATAACGTTTATATTCAAATTTCGTGTACTTATATACAAATCGACACATTCGAAGAAAAACTTTGATATCCTTGAAAAACGTTCTAACTGAACGTTAAGGTGAAAACAGTGATAAACAAACTTTTTATATCTTTAAAAAGGTTTAAATTATCAGGAAAAAATTTTTGATTACTCCCAAAAACTATCTAAAGGTGTAAAACGTTCAAAATCAAAATTTGGGACGACATGAAACTACTTCGTTTTTTCCACGGTATACGGATCCCTAAATCACATCCAAATCGGTGCAGTCGTGTCTGAAATTACTAGGTTCCAAAGGCCAACAGACTGAGAGACCGACAGACAGACTCACGTAAACGAATAAGTACAAGGGTTTTTAATAATACAATTTGACGTTACAGTATTCCTAGCTACAATCATAGCTCGCCCAGTTTCTAAAAAAAATGAATGAAAAAAGTAAATAGCTACACCTACACAATTATCAGCTATCGTGTTAAAGCTGGAGCACATAAAGTACACGGGTGACTTAATCATAACATTAGAATTTGGTGTTTTTAAGTAAAAAGTGAGGAATCTTCTGGAAATGCGGGACGGTACATGAAAATCACTTTTAGCTAATAAAGCTGAAGAATCAACATCACTGTGTACGAGTTTGTAAAGGGATTTTAAACTATTACAAACTCTTCTCAGCTCAAGAGGATGCATTTCAATCTGAGCAACATCGCTGATTGGGGAGTCCCACGATTGGGATAAATACCATCTAATTTAATCAAGTATTTAAGAAATCTACTCTGTACACTTTCAACTTCATTAGTATAGATTTGGTAATATGGATGCCATACATATAAAGCCTTCAGTGCCGTTTCACTACCAAACGATTTACAGTCTCTTATAAAAAACCGATACTTTTTATAGCGGTTGATACTATTGTACTAATATGACCTGTAAATTCTAATTTAACTGACACCTTCCAGTGTGTAATCAAAAACTACTGGATCCGTTTTCCTGGTAAAAGAACAGGTTTTGCTAACATTCAAAAATAATTTATTAGTTGAACACCATTCAAATATATGATTCAGGTCAGCTTGCAATATTAGACAGTCATCAATGCTGTTAATCTGAGCATATATTTTTAAATCATCGGCAAACAACAGAGAGGGACAGGTTAAGCAGTTAGGGAGGTCATTGATAAAATAAAGAAAGAGAAGAGGGCCTAAATTTGATCGCTGTGGTACACCGGATGATGCCGAGTAAGGTAAAGATTTGAAACCATTTTAAGAAAAGTACTGATTTCTATCATGCAAGTAAGAAGAAATGAAATCTAATAAATTATTGCTAAAACCAAAATGCTGAAGTTTACCTATGATTTTTTGGTGACTAATCTTATCGAAGGCCTTTGAGAAATCCATATATACCACATCCATCCAACCCCTATTGTCCAAGACCTCTGCAATTTCCTGGGTGATTTTAGTTGAGTTAGAAACAGTAGAGCGCATAAATCCATGATGTGTCTCAGATATCAGATGCGAGGTCAAAGGATAGATGTAGTTATATACAGGTATCTCAAATGCCTTATCAAAATTATTCAATATAGCTCGGTAATTTTCGATCTTACCAGGGTCCCCAGCTTTAAAAATAGGGCACACTCTAGCAAGTTTCCATTTAGGAAAAGTTGCTGTACTGAGGAAATAATTAAAAATTTTCTTTAAAGACGTGACAAATATGTGCGCCGCATCACGGACTACAAAGCTCGGTACCATATCTTCTCCTGCTTTCAACTTGATTGGTAATTTACACAGTGCCTTTAGAATATCCTCATCTGTGAAGTTACCCAGATGAAAACAGTCATGCTGAGTATTAACAACGGGATGTTGGTATAAATTATTATCTATAACATAAACACTTTGGAAATACTCTGCGAATGAACTAATAGTCCGATTAGGATTATCTGAGACTTCATTAGCAAGGGTCATCCTACCTGGCATTCTAGATGAGTATTTCTTAGACTGGATGAAAGACCAAAAATGATTCGGATTTGTAACCAAATCATTTTCAACTTTTTGCAGATATAGATTGTCTTTTATCTGTTATTTAACAAGTGCACGGACCCTATAAAATTGTCCATAGATTTCCTGAATTTTGGAACGTTTATGTTGTTGATGCAGTCTACGTTTCAGTTTTAAATTTTGAATAATATCCAAGCTATACCAACCTGGATAACGATGCTTATGCTTAATATATTTCGGAACGTATAGGTCAAAAACTAAGTATAATTTTTTATAGAACAAGTGACACATGCGATTGACATCCTCCACGTTGTCCAAAGACGACCAATCAATGTAAGTCAAAGCATTGTAAAGGCCAATGAAATTACCTTTCCTGAAGTTGTACGTTGGAGTTGCTACATTCGTATCAAAATTAAGAATGGCATTGAATTTGGTTCCACAAACTTTCCTTCTGTATACAAGTGACCTGCCCGCATTGATTTCCTCCACATGTTCAGCTTATGCCGACGACACCAAGATTTACAATACTGTCGTAAATTCTGCTATGCTTCAACGAGATCTTGATATTGTTTGTCAATGGTCAGTCAGTTGGCTTTTACCCTTAAATCTAACTAAGTGTTGTGTCCTTCACCTCGGGAAGACAAATCCGCGATTTACATACAAGATCTCTGACCACAACATCGAAGCAGTTTCCAGCCACACTGATCTGGGCGTTGTAGTCAATGATCGTCTTTCCTGGTCAGAGCATATTCACCACGTTACATCAAAAGCCAAGAAACTTCTATACATGCTGGAGAGGTCTTTCAAAGGATCCGATGTCAACACTTGCGCCTACATTTACAAGGCATTCGTGAGGCCAATTCTTGAATTCGCTGGCCCGGTATGGGACACTGTGCTTCTGCGCGATAGAAATCTCGTCGAATCAGTACAGCGTCGGGCTACTCGTATCCCTTTTGGAGCACGAAGACCAAGCTATGAAGATCGCCTTGAATTATTCAACCTGACCTCATTCTCTGAGCGAAGATTTCGGGGCGATCTTATAGTTACGTTCAGGATACTTCATGGTTTGATGGGCACCAACCTCATGCATCCATACCGTCTGTCGCGCAGCAATCTACGCGGACACAGCTTCAAACTGCATAAGGAGCCATTTAAAACAACAGTCCGACAGTGGTTTCTTCCCAAAAGCATATTCAACACCTGGAATAGTTTACCTGAAAGTGTGGTTTGTGCTACTTCAGTTAATAGCTTCAAAGTGCAGTATGATAGCTGGAGGAGTGTACAAACTTTATAGCTTTGAACTGTCTTTTTTTATTTTTTCTATTTGATGTATTTGTGTTACGTGTCCGTACACTATATTTACTGCATGAGCTTATAGTACTGTGTACTCTGCTCATCTCAATTATCATAATAATAATAATAATAATAAACTACAAATAGAGAAGGATGATGCAAATCTTTCTTGACTAACGGCAAATTATCATGACAAGTTTCGCAGATCATGTCAGTTATCACCAAATCCAACATCCTTTGTCTAGCATTCAGAATAGTATTGGTTTGAGAAAGACCTGAAAATTCCAAAAATCCATTTAGTGCAGTCGAATGTCTATCAACAATTGTATTATCAACAAAATTTGCTACATTGAAATCTCCTATAATTAGGACATTTAATTGTCTTATTATAGTTTGTGAAAATAATTCCATCAATGTTTCAAAGACTACAAATGTTACTTGTGGTGGTACATACAGGACATATATAAATACCGAAATAAATCCTATAGTACACTTGACACATAGAACATCGATCAAGCATATTTCATTGCGAATGTGCTCAAGATTAATGTTGAGTCACATTAAACATATCTTTACATGCTAGCAAAACCCCTCGTCCGCATGAAGTGTTTGTTCTTAAGAAATTACGGTCACAAGGGTAGACAATAAACTCCGGAGGAAATAGTTCCGAATTTCTCACATCACTACACAACCAAAGTCCTACAAAATCATAATCAGAAGACAAAATTGCGGAATAAAAATCATTGAATTTGGTATTCAGTCCGCGCACGTTTTGGAAATATCAGCGCATAGGGATATTTTTGTTGGGCTTCCCTAGTTTTCCGAAATGATTCTAGGGACACCACGAACGTACTTGATCTTTAAGCCGTTTTACCCTCTTGCAGAGCGTTTTTGATCTCCTGTTTCAGTTTTTTTATAATGCAAGATCTGTCGGGGTGTACGATCAAATGAGATACTAATCCTGGAGAAAACATTGTTCTTCTTTAAGTTGCTAGCTGACTTAATACAAGCATCTTCATCCCTAAGTGTTATTTTCATGGGCCTCGTTATACCAGCATTGATAGATCCTAGTCTAATCGGCTTAATACTATCAGCATTAACATCACGATCCAAGACCTGTAGAATCTTTTTAACTTGTCCAGTATCATGAGCACTCTTTTGCATGTTGGACTTAACTGCACTCTCTTGAACCCCAAAGATAATTAAGTTTTTCTTCCTAGACGGTCTGACGTTTATTTCTTGGATTATATCTTTGTAGTCGACAGACGGCTGTGCCAGTAGGTGTAGACTTTAGAGCGTTTATTTCCTCTTGCAAAGAAATGACCAATGCTCGAAGATCAGATAATGTAGCACTAATCATGCTACAGTTTTTACAGGTGAAATGAACGTTTGATTTGCTTTTCAAAAGTTTTTCATCATTTTGGGACAACTCAACACAGCTGTAAAAATAATGGTTCTTGCACCCAGAACACCTCAAACTTGTTGTCCTCCCCAAGTTTTTTTCAGCAAGTACAACTTATTTGCGTAGTTTGAGGCATTAAGTGATTTGATTTGACTAGCAGGAGAGTGCAGAATTCTAGGTAAGTGTGGCCACGCCGGCTCCGTTTTCACGTTGAACGCACAGATTCTTCCGGTGTTTACAGGTTATGAAGATGTATCAGATGCCAAAAAGGCTGACGATAACCAATCAGTAGCACACTATTGGTAACAAGTGACCTTAGATATGCAGTCTGGTTGCTTGAGACGAAATTAATTTATTAAAAATGCTGCAAAACAGATCCAAAACACGCACATCAAACACTACACTGTTGCCAGATGCCAACTTGCCACAAATATCATTTTGATATATTGACGTCATAAAACATCAAATTAACGTATTATGGAATGTTCAGACCTTTGTGATCAGAATACTGCCCTCATTTGCGAGTGGGAGGTAAAGAGTGACCCTAACTTTGTTATTGAAACAATAGAAGCTAAGACTATTTCACATGAGCATTTTCTTTCATCAATTTTCTATGCAAATTGCACAACAAAATGATTGTTCAATTAATTTCACTCCATCAAAGCATTGCTAACAAGGCAATACCATATTACGACGAAAAAATAGTACAAGGTTTATATATTTTAGCTATTATTGTGACTTGTAAATGACAATAGGAACATTATTACGCAAGTATGATAAGTTTGTATGTTTGTTGTTGTAAACTGAATCAAGACATATAAGTATAAATATCGTAATTTATGTCAATGAGAACTTCCTCGCCAAACATAGGAATCGACAATATAGAACTTGAATTATTCATGTAAAATTCGTAAGGATTTTTGAATTTAAAACTAGGTGTTTTAGACGTCTTTGTAGATTTTGAAAAAATGCAGAGCAAGTCACCTTGTTTTCAAATTAGAACAAATTCACGTTTTATATAACGCTTTGTCCCAGAAGCATCTTAACCAAACACTTAATTCAAAAATGCAAAAGAAGTTACAATGATTCAAGCACAGAAACAATTCTTCATTTTCCTCTTATGTGGAGCCAATGTACAGTGCTTACAGCCTTGGTTTATTTTGAGCTAGGACAATTTGTCAACATTGTTTGTACTGTTACTATTACGTGTAAAAATGTTAGCTGATATCCTCGCCCGTTCTCATTTTGTTTCATAGATACAACTTCAACACCCTATATCGCAGTAAACAAGTATTCTACGATATCTGCTCAGAAATCTCCTATTTTTGAACGTACTATCTGACGAAACTGTCGAAAAACTGTTGGTTATGCTAGTTGGCAAGTTCCAAGTTATTGGGGTGTAAGTATGCTTGGACTGTTCATCAGATAGATATTAGACAGCTGGAAAAAGACAATTTATCTCATTGACAATTTTTTATATAGGGTATAGACAATTCGAATGTTTGCAGAGGTAACTAAGGACATAGAAATCGTTAATAACAATAATACAAAAATTGACTCCGTTAGAAAGCATGTAATGTAGATAAGATAAATTAGTCAATTTGTTTACCTGCTACTAACCAACAATTATACAGTATTTAATCACTTCGGTGCGCGGTCAACGAAATGCGTAATGCCAATAGACAATACATTTAGAATGTTGCGTTGAAAAATTTACAGAAAGTACGTCATGGTAATACCACTGTGGTTCATAATCAAATAAGGATAAGTTTTGTTTGTTACGCTATTGCATCTTTAATAAGGTCTATGATATATAAATCTACTTTGTAACAATACAATGCATTGGCGAGACAATTATACATAACTTATACAGGGTGACTTCGAAGTTGAGTCATTTATTTTAACAGTGAGTAGATCTGATCAAAAGAAATGTTTTTTTCCTTTACCATTTTTCTGGTAAAATTAAAGTAACAAAGTTATAGCCCTTTGGAAGTTTGAGTACCGCCCTGTCTCAATAATAATATTATGTGCTCGTGTTTGGCAACAACAGATATAATCCGCCTTATCGGTTCATCGCATCGGAAACAAAAAAGCGAAAGAATTTGGAGCGATGTTTTTACAATTATTTTATTCAGTTGTATACAGTCAGTGTCAGTCGGTAACGCGTGAGTGAATAAAGGTGTCTGTTGCGTGGTTCAAACGAAATAAAAAATGGCACATGTTTACGAAAATGCTGAACTTGTGGACATGATTCTTATTTACGCGGCATCACGGATTTATGCGGATCGGTTTCCCAATCGAGTGCAACCAACCCCTCGTGCCTTTGTTAATGTAGTACAAAGGGCTCGTGAATCAGGTGACTTAGGACCTCACAGGGGAGGGCATGCCGGTGCTCCAAGACCGCACGATCAAATACAGGTCCGCACTGAAATACTTGTCGGGAGGATACTTTATAAAACAAGGTAACATTTTTTTTTATTTGTTTTTAATTTTTACACACATATTTTGGTTTATCTTCCTTCTACAATCATTATCTGAAAATTAATGACTCAACTTCAAAGTCACCCTGTATATATTTTACTTAAAACCTGGCGAAATTAAATCTTTGTGATTTTTCGTGGCCGGAATAATTACGGTGCATACCACAGAATGCGACATCTTTTTTTATATTCCAACCACCACGAAGGCTAAGGCCTAAACACCCATGGGGTACCGTGGAGCTATAGGGGAATACAGGGGAGAGGGAGAACGCCACACGGACTCTGGCGAAGGATCAGGTGTGCATGCAACATGCACACATTCTGGCCCCGCCTACGAGGTCCGCCGGGTGGTACCTCTGCGTTCGACAGTCTACCACCTACGGACAATCACAACATCCATAGCCAAGAGAAAACTTTCTCTTGGGACGGGCCACCGCTGCTGCCTGGTTAGTTTGTCTGAGTTAAACTGCTATTAATTTATAAACCCCTTTCCGCCCATGTCACAACATCCATTCTTAGCTCAATTCTACTCTCAAAAACATCATTATTACTAACTCGCAAATACCATCTTAACCCCCTTGATAAGACCCGGCAATATCCAATCTTAACCAGCACCTCTGCATATAAACTCTAGATCTCTAGTAAAAAGGCAAAGGAGTTTCGTATAAACTTGTAAATTCTTCTGTCTCCTTTTACTCATCTGATATACCCTGCCTATAAATTACCTGACTATCGAATTTCATTTTCATGTGTCAAATATCTTTCGAAATGTCGTGACTAATGGGTGGAGGTATTCATGCTTTTATATATCTACCTTCACCCTCACTTCCCCTTAATCCAGCCCTGTCACAAAATCTATTTTAAGCTGGTGTCATGTCCATAAAGTTTTCCCTGCTAGCCTTCGTGTTCACATGTGTAATAATTTTCGAGATGAATTTATATAATTCTAACTTGAAAAGTTAGGTTCCCTATAAAAATATTCTACCCCCTCCTACCGCATAGTAGAGATATAATTTATAGAATTCTTTGTCAATGTTTCTCAATGTATGATAAAATTGAAGGCAAAACATACTACTACTTCTATGCTGGCCGAACTTGAAATATTCTAGGTTCTTCAGCTTCTTCACTCTTTAGGGGCGGAATGTACCAATTTTTTTATTGTAAGTACTAATTCACATTATATCAATGAAGCGAATATAAGGAACCGATATTTGTATCCCTAACTTAAAGAATAATAGTTTTCAAATAGTAACCATCACTTCCTATTTCAACCCCTTTGAACTTTATTTTCACAACGAAAAAGGTAGCCAATGTTTAATCTACATCTGTGCTAAAATTCATCAAAATCAGTTCAGCCGTATTGTCGAGAAAACGTAACATACATACATAGACACTTTCGCATTTATATTGTTAGTAGGAATTCTGACGTTGCCTCGATAATTGCTGGTTGCCTGGGGTTTAAGCTTTTTGACATTTGAAGGATCATACTATATTCGATAGTACTAATTCAGTACTCCTGTAATATAAAATTAATAGGTTTCAGAATAAAAGAAATACATTTGTAGACAAAGGATTCAACATGTCTAAATGAGATGCACTTGCCCGACTTCCAAAATCGCTTGCGAAATACCTTATGGTGCACTGATACGAACTAGTTCGTAGGGTTAATGTATTTGTTAAGTTCCTTTCACCTGGTAAAAACACATTATGAAACAATTCGGAGTACCAGCCATAAAAAAGTTAAAAATATAATAAGTAACGCCGTTATTTTACAAGCTTAACCGCAAACTTCTGATTACTCTTCTATTGAATAAACAAGACAGCCAAGACGGATTCTTCAGTTAAATAACACAGTTCCCTAGTTCGGATGCTGTTACGCTTTTAACTTTTTTTATGGAGCTCTAGTTACTTTCATAGACAACAAATCATCTATGGAACATAATTTGTTATAAATTAATGTAGGAAAATGCCTGAAATTGCGTAAGTAACACGTTCCTTTTCTTAAGAGGGGCATTTAGGTGGGTCATGTAATACCTGTCTCAAGGACATTTTAACGTTCGTGGAAGCTACAGTATGTTGCCATGACTGTTGCATTACACATAAAGAATGAAAACGTGTAAAAATGGCAACACTGGCCTGGTGCCTCTCTCCTAATAGCAAGCAACGCATATGTTTCGACCAGTTTTGCCTTTTACATTCCCTATAATATTCTGGATGTCCAACACTCGTGGTAACATGCAGCAGACTTGAATCTTGTGTTTGTAATCATATCACAAATTTTCAAAATTACAAAAATCTGCTAAAAATATGTTTCTACAAAAAATGGAATAAGCAAAAAGTATTGTTATCGCTTGGTTGATCACTTAGGATCTGAGTTACGGCAAGAAATTTTATCAGCTGGTCTTGTGACATGGTAGATATACGAGTAGATATGGGCGTCTTGCATGCTTATTTGGGTAAAGTTTAAGGTTGCTAAATAAGTGAATATTGTGACAACTCGTGTGCAGTTTTCGGTTCGGTATCTATGTGAGTAACTGTTGAAAACCATTAAAATGCTTTAATTAATAAAATTATCAGGAATTTTATTGAATATAAAGCACCGATGGGTCAAACCATGCGTACCGCCTTTTCGCTCAACGCAGAGTGCCTGCCAAGTGCCCTCGGCCCATCGACCCCCGGAAAGGGTCCTACGACCCTCTTTATGGGTCTTTTCCTTGAAAATAAACAAAATACATACTAGATGTAAACAGCTTGAAACTAATAACCATCAATACATAGTCGTTCATGGAGGACACACAACCTTCAATTTAATCATCTCCACCCTCCCGACCATTGCTGTCCAGAATCACACATATCACACCCGATAGTTCGGCTGTGTAAAATTCCTGATAAAATGCTGTGAAATATATTTGAGCTCCACTCTTAATGACAACGATCGCTAGTTAGTCCACACATTACCATAATGTTGCTATCTCGTTGAAGGTCAATTAAATAATCAAATGTTCTGCATTCTGACCATGAGCTGCGATGGAGAGTCTGATTTTCTCTATTACAAGTGTCAGTTATACGAGTAGTTGAAAGCTTTGCATTTCCAAACAAACAAAAAACTCATTTACACTAACCATCTTATAATCATAATAAAGTTCGTTTTCACGTTTCCCTAGCTGATAATGTGCTCATTATGTTTGATACCTCCAGTAGCAAAAAGTACACAAAATTAACCTAAGTGAAACGTGTTAGGCGATTTTTTTATCTTCCATCATCGTGTTAAGTTCTTGTCTTGATAGAGATATTTGCCAGAGATGGCTTTTATACCCGAAAAAATTAACATAAACCTATAGTTTCTATACAGGGCCGAAACATAGGGTCGAAGCGGCTACAGGGCCGATATTTTTCAAAGCGCTCTGTAAGCTGTGGGTGTCTGCAGATAATTATTATAGTGCTAGAGAAGAGTCTTAGATGATTTCGCGGTATGACACTTCCTGCATAATTTGCAAAGAGCTAATAAAGGTGGATCTTTCCACCGGTATTATTATGATGATGATACACAGTTGTCACTTTGGTAGGTAATGGTAGTCAAATGAGTCAAAAATGTGCAATAAAACTACGCAATTACTTATTAAAATACTTATTAAAATCTAAGAGCTGGGTCGCCCCTAAAGATTAAATATTTGAGGCTCGGGAGAATTCCGAGAAGTTTAGGAGGAGATCCATCCTCCATCCTCACCTTCAAAGTCATTTTTCATACCTATAATGCAAAATTTTACGTTCTAATACTTTCTCAATTACTATTATGACCTTGAATGTGGAGCACAAAGTCAAATCCTGTGTCAATATTGAACTCCTTGTTAAAAGTTAGTAACGGTCTGACCTTTCCATAAATAGCTCTGCAAAATTTATATTGCCCCACACATTTGACCTTCATTTGATCTTTAAATGTGACCTTATATCTTGGATATCAATACATGTTCGAAATTCGAATTTTAGTTTCTTTCGATTTACGATGTCTGACTTTCTATTCAAAAAACAAAAGTTGGTTTTGAAATAACTTTAAAGGTGAAGCTGAAAGATACCACTCAATTCCTTGCTCAAAATTAGCAATTACTTGACCTTAACCATTTTCAAAAATACCCTACTGTGGAAAAATACAGACTCATTGCTTTACTTTTTTTTACAACCCTATATGTAGGATTGACCATTTGGGAAGTATTATTACAGGCACGATATTTTACCAATTTTTGGCTTTACTTGAAAACAATTTTCATTTACAACCTTAATAATGAAAATATACTATAGTGCTATACAGGGTGACTTCGAAGTTGAGTCATTTATTTTAACAGTGAGTAGATCTGATCAAAAGAAATGTTTTTTCCTTTAACATTTTTCTGGTAAAATTAAAGTAACAAAGTTATAGCCCTTTGGAAGTTTGAGTACCGCCCTGTCTCAATAATAATATTATGTGCTCGTGTTTGGCAACAACGGATATAATCCGCCTTATGGTTCATCGCATCGAAAACAAAAAAACGAAAGAATTTGGAACGATATTTTTACAATTATTTTATTCAGTTGTATACAGTCAGTGTCAGTCGGTAACGCGTGAGGGAATAGTGGTATCTGTTGCGTGGCTCAAACGAAATCAAAAATGGCACATGTTTACGAAAATGCTGAACTTGTGGACATGATTCTTATTTACGCGGCATCACGGATTTATGCGGATCGGTTTCCCAATCGAGTGCAACCTACCCCTCGTGCCTTTGTTAATGTAGTACAAAGGGCTCGTGAATCAGGTGACTTAAGACCTCACAGGGGAGGGCATGCCGGTGCTCCACGACCGCACGATGAAATGCAGGTCCGCACTGAAATACTTGTATAAGCTTCTTGACGAAAAAAAAAAGAATATATAATAATAATAGAACGACTTATAATGTGTGTACCATAGTTTGTACGCCCACGCCACTGGAAATGAAGTATTGTAATGGCGAAAAATTTCGAAAATTATATATAATGTAAATTATAAGAAGGACTTAATATCACACATATTTTCCTTACATATACTATTGAAGTAAGCATACATCCAAGTTTCGCTTAGAAGTTTTCGCTAATTTGAACGAAGGCGTGGGAAGTTTAACGTCAAAGTACTTAACGCCATTTTTTTATTTATTCAAATAGACTATATAACATAATAATAACATAATTAGTGGAGTCTAAAGTCTAACAAAATGCACATCTGTAGATATTAGTAAATTAATTCAAGATATTCAAAATTTTCTTTGGGTACAATAACCAGTCGTATGGATATTCAAATCTACAGGGTGTTTTCAAAGTTGAGTCATTTATTTTAGCTGCTTATAGGACACGTCAAAAGGAGCTGATATACCAAAAATTGCCTGTATTAAAGTTGCATAATAATAGAAATTGTGAAAGTTTAGAAATTTTGAAAAATAAGAATGTTATTAAACAGATTTTTTTGATACTCTCGACTATTGCCCTGTAAAATTTTAGCGTTTTTTGTTTACTACCCTTATCGTTTATCTAAATTTGGCAAACTTTTTGTGATATTTTATAGTTTTCAGTACGAGTTTTTGATTTGATCAGTTGTATCAGTCTTTGAATAGTGCGTATAGTACTTTCATTTGTCTGATTATTATTTTGTGCGAACAAATGGCCCATGTTTACGAAAACAATGAACTAGTGGACATGCCATAATACTAACATACGGAGATTGTCAACAAAATGCAGCCGCAGCATGTAGGTTATACGTTTTCTTTAAGAAATCATCCGGCCCCATGAATGTTTGTAAATTTAGTTATTAGACTTTGTGATACAGGACATTTAAAAGAAAAAAAAGGAAGTCAAGCTGGAAGACCTGCTCAACCTGAAATGTTACAAATTGAAGAAGACATTTTAGAAATGGTCGATCCAACAATGAGTACTAGAGCCATAGCAGCTCGAAATCAAGTTTCTCATAGTAAAGTGTGGAAGACAGTACGACAAGAACAGTATTATCCTTATCATTATCAACGGGTACAAGCGTTACAACCTGAAGATCATCCTAGAAGAGTTGCACTTTGCCAGTGGCTTTTAGAATAGTTCGGAAGAACTGAAGGTTTTACGAAATTGATTTTGTGCAGAGACGAGGCCACATTTACACGAAATGGAGCGCACAATTTCCACAACAATCATGTTTGGGCAGTAGAAGATCCGCATGCTGTAAAAAGATCTCACTTTCAACATAAATTTTCATTAAATGTTTGGGCTGGCATGGTAAGCGGCATGCTTATTGGACCATAATTTTTCGACCTCGCCTGACCGTGAAATTTATTTAAATTTTCTTCGACACAATCTGCCACAATGATTATGATTAGATGTTCCTCTATGAGTGAGACAGAATATGTGGTTCCTAAATGATGGGGCTCCACCACATTTTAGACGAGAAGTTCATGAACATCTAAATAAAGAGTTTCCGAATAGATGGGTAGCGGGCAATTGACCCATTTCTTGGCATACTCGCTCAGCGAATTTAACGCCTTGCGATTTTTTTCTGTGGAGCTCATGATGGAGCAGTAAATACTCTGAAAGAACTCCAACAGCCCACTAAAAATGCTTGTGATTTAATTCGTGGACACCAGAATTTTATATTCGAAGCTTGTTAAGAGTCGTGGATTCGCCGACCAAGATTTTGCGTTAATGGAACAAATGGACAACTTTAAACAGTTTTCGTAAAAACGGTAGCCATTTAATATGATGGTTTTTCTAAAATAATTTTTAATAATGTAAACAAACTCTCTTATATCAACTTCTTTTGATGAGTTCGACAAGCTGTTAGAATAAATGACTCAACTTTGAAAACACCCTGTTGACTTGAATATCCATACGGCTGGTTATTGTTCCGGGAAATACCCAAAGAAAATTTCGAATATCATGAATTAATTTAATTAATTGACTAATAATTATATACATATGTGCATATTGTTAGACTTTAGACTCCATTAATTATTTTATCATTATATTATATAATCTACTTGAATAAATAAAAAAAATGGCGTCAAGTAGTTTGACCTTAAAGTTCCCACGCCTTCGTTCAAATCCGCACAACTTCTTACTTCAATAGTAGATGTATGGAAAATATGTGTGATATTAGGTACTTCTTAATAACTAATTAATTATATCTCATTTTCGAAATTTTTCGCCATTACACTACTTCATCTCCAGTGGCGTGGGCGTATCAGTCACAGAATCTCACGCTGCTTCTTCGAAGCCAAAATTTTCCTACTTCATTCTCATTACTGGAAACAAGGCACGTTTTATGAAGTATGTTGAGAAGATAATAGCACCCTGTGGGGTTTTATTTTCAGCATACTGAAAATTTCATACAAAAATATCAAAAAATAAAGCGTCAATTCCGAAGCGCACAAACCTCTACAAATCATATTTTGGACGAATTTTGTCTACTGTTTCGTGCTGCCAACACAAGCGTTGCGGCGCAATGTACGGACTAAGAAAGGACGTATTCAGATAATTTGGTGGCCCTATTTCATATAATATCTCGTAGATGGCGTCTATATCACGAAAAACTGTATCACTCATCATCAACTTGGAAATTACCGGTCGAATTTTTATGAAATTTCCACACTGTCAGAGCTTTGCAGTTCTACTCCACTGGCAATGGTGCTATATGCAAAAAAGAAAAAGTAACAATTGCTGAAACTCCGT